CACGCGGTCACAGAGGCCACACCCGCCCTGGCCGCGTTGCTCATGAACGCCGTCCGGGAGCGCATTCCTCCGCGTGCGATGCGCCCGCCAGGCACCGCCGTCGCCACCTGACCCCGCCCCGGGCAGGCCTGGGTGCCCACGTCCCCGGCTGGATTTTTTTTTTCATTATTTACTTATTTATTTATTTAAATATATTTTATTGTGTTGTTGTTTTTTTTACAGAGAGAAAGAGAGAGGGATAGAGAGTTAGAAACATCGATGAGAGAGAATCATCGATCAGCTGCCTCTTGCACGCCCCCCACTGGGGATGTGCCCGCCACCAAGGTACAGGCCCTTGACCGGAATCGAACCCGGAACCCTTCCGTCCGCGGGCTGACCCTCCATCCACCAGCCAGGGCTCAATTTAAAAAAAAAAAAAAGGGGGGGGGGTTGTTTGTGTGTGTGTGTGTGGTGTGGGTGTGTGTGGGTTTTTTTTTTGCCCTAGCTGGTTTGGCTCAGTGGATAGAGCGTCGGCCTGCGGACCGAAGGGTCCCGGGTTCGATTCTGGCCTAGGGCACATGCCCGGGGTGTGGGCTCGATCCCCAATAGGGGACATGCAGGAGGCAGCCGATCCATGATGCTCTCTCATCCTTGGTTTCTCTCTCTCTCTCTATCCCCCTCCCCTCCTATAAATCAATAAAGAAATATATTTTTAAAAAACGTTTTTAAATTAAAAAAAAAACACCTATTTTTCGCTGCCTTCTTCACCCCCCCCCCCCACACACACACACACAGGCACACACACAGGCACACCTCCACCGCGGCCTGCAGACGCTCAGGGGCCTCCAGCCGTCTTTCCTCTGCGGGCAGGGAGGGGTGCAGACAGCACCCAGCAGGCCCCGCCCCACGCCAGCCGCGCCCGGCGGGTGGGTGGGTGGGTGGGTGAGTGGGTGACCGGCCCTCGCTGCTGTGGGGGCCGAGCGCCCGCCGGGGCAGGGCCCAGGGGAGCCAGGGAGAGCCGGCGGCGGCGGGGGGCAGGGCCTGCGGAGCGGGCAGCTGCGGGCGCGGGGTTCCTCATGTTTTCGGGGTGAGGCATGTGCTGTGGGCGTGAGAGAGGGAGGCAGCGGTGCAACACCAGGAACCTCAGCCGGGGAGGAGGGGGAGGGAACCAAGAACATGTGTGTGTTTTTTTAAAAAGCCCTGACCGGTGTGGCTCAGTGGATAGAGCGCCAGCCTGCGGACAGAAGGGTCCCGGGTTCGATTCCGGTCAAGGGCAGGCACCTTGGTTGCGGGCACATCCCCAGGGGGTGGGGGGGGCGTGCAGGAGGCAGCTGGTCGATGTTTCTCTCCCATCGATGTTTCTAGCTCTCCCTCCCTCTCCTTTCTTCTCTGTAAATAGTTATACATATATATTTTAAAAATGCACAAAACGTAATGCGTCCTTTTATCTTTTATTTTAATTCTTTTTTAATGCGGGTTTTTTTTTTGTTTTGTTTTTTGTTTTTTTTACTGAGCCCCTGGGCCGTCTGGCTCCATGGATCGAGCATCAGCCTACAGACAGAAGGGTCCAGGGTTCGATTACGGTCAAGGGCACATACCTTCGAGGCAGGCTCCTCCCGGCCCGGCCCTGGTCTGGGCCCGTGCAGGAGGCAGCCCGTCGGTGTGTCTCTCTCCCTCTCCCTCTCCCTTCTGCTCTCCCTAAGGTCAATGGGACCACGTCCTCGGGGGAGGATGCACAGACAGGAAAAATCACGGTGACCGGGACACACACACGCGCTGGCCAGGGCCACACACACGCCTGGGACACGCATGCAAGGCCCTGGGAGGGCCCGAGGGAGGGCGGCACGGGTCCGAGGGGGAGGGGCAGGCTCGCACGCTGGGCCCGCACACTTCCGCATTTGTCTGAAGTTTCCCCACCGGCCCCACGGGCACCCCGGGGCGGCGAGGGGGGTGGGGGGAGGGAGAAGCCGGCCGCTCACCCCGCCCTGGGCTGGGCTGCCTGCTTCTCCGAGGCCCCCTCACCCTCAGGATGGAACCCCTGTTCCCGGGGAGCCAGCGGCTTCAGACCAGCCCCGCCCAAGCCCTAACAGGAAATGGCTGAGAGAAAGCAATCTGAGGGCTTCCCATCCTCACCCCACCGGGCGGGGGACACGGGGCCGAGCCTGGGGTCTGCAGGAGGCGTGGCTGGTCGTGTCCACCCCGGGGCCCAGCGTGCTGGCCAGACCCCCGAGCTGCTGGGATGGGCGGCGGGCAAGGAGATAAGTGGGATTTTTTAGAAATGTATTTTTATTGACTTCAGAGAGAGGAAGGGAGAGGGGGAGAGAGAGAGAAACATCCATGTTGAGAGAGAATCACGGACCGGCTGCCTCCTACACTCCTCACACGGGGGATGGTGCCTGCAACCCGGGCCTGAGCCCCTGATCAGGGATCGAACCCTGACCTCCTGGCTCCTAGGTCGACGCTCCATCACTGAGACCTTGTTGTCTTGGTTTTGTTTTCCCCGGGGCGATCGCTAGCTATAACATCAACAATGACTCGCCCTGGCTGGTGTGGCTCAGTGGATAGAGCGTGGGCCTGCGGACCGAAAGGTCCCGGGTTCGATTCCGGTCAAGGGCATGTGCCTTGGCTGCAGGCACATCCCCAGGAGGGGGTGTGCAGGAGGCAGCTGGTCAATGTTTCCCTCTCATCGATGACGTTTCTAGCTCTCTATCCCTCTCTCTTCCCCCCTGTAAAAAAAAAAACGAATGAAAAAATATAAAACATATTTTGAAAAAGGAAAAGAAAACCCAGGGAACTGGAGGCATCCCCTCAGGCAGCTGGTTCCAGGCACGCCCCCACTCCCCACCCGCCCAAGCCTGGCTCCCAGCGCCCGCCCCAATCCTCTAAGCCAAGGGGTCTGTGCGCTCAGGGCCCACAAAGCCTGGCCCCCGGCAAAGATCGGGGGGCGCAGCCAGCCAAGCCCGAGGTCACCCCCAGACCAAAGCCTTCCCCACCCCCAGCCCCCAGCGCCCAGCTCCACCTGCGACAGCGCGCCCCGCCCTCCACCCAGCCGCTCCCCAAATCTCCATCCCCACCCGAGCCACCGGTGCCACCCCATGGGAGGCCGGAGGGAGACTGGCCTGGGGGGACCCCACCCCCACAAAGAGGTCCCTAACCCCAGCCACGCCCCAAGCGCTGGCCCCGCCCCTGGATTCAGGGTCCCGGCTGCGCCCCGCCCTCAGTGCCACGCCCACCAGGACTCTGGGGTCCCCAAGCAGAACCAATACCTTCTCCCTCCGGGATCCAGATCCCCCCGCCCTCCAATCTGGATCCCACACACTTCACTCTGGACACCCCGAAGGCCTAGCCATGGCCCCCCATTTCACCCTGGACGGCCACGGGGTTTGGGGGGGGGCCAGGTGCCTCCGGGACGCGCGGGTCCTGGGCGCCTGCAGACCTGGGACCCGGTGCAACCGAGGGGAGGCGGCAATTTTTATTATTATTATTATTATTATTATTATTATTATTATTATTATTGATTTCAGAGGGAGGAAGGGAGGGAGAGAGAGAGGAACACCCATCGGCCGCCTCCTGCACGCCCCGCCCTGGGGGACCCAGCCCGCACCCCGGGGGGCCCTGCGCCCTGCCCGGACTGGAACCCGGACCTCCCGGCCCCTGTGTCTGGTGTAAACCAGCATTTCCACCGTCCGAGGAGCTCTATTCTGTACGTGAGAAGGCCCACCCGCTGGGACCCAGAAAGCAGCAGCAGGACGCGGGTGTTTTTGTTCTGTTTTTGTGCAGAATTTGCCCCAAATTAGGGAGGAAGGGAAGTGAGTGTCCGCGGAGGGTTCCCTCCCGGGCGCTCCGAGGAGGAACCGGGCGGTTCTGGCCGCCGAACCGGCACCGGGAGGTTCTCATCCACTGAAAGGCGGGGTGTGCTTTTGTTTTTTTGTTGTTGGTGGTTTGTTTGTTTTTGCTACTTTTTTTGTTTTGCAAACAAACAAACAAACAAACCAACAACCACAGAGCTCGGAGGAGTCAACTCCCAGGTGGAGGGCCCCCTGCGATGGGGATGGGAGGAGAGAGGGGGCGGCGCGCGGGGGTCCCCGGCGCCCAGGCTGCGCCCCGGGGCGCACGCCCCCAACCCCCGACCCCCGCACAGGTGCCCAGCGCCCCGCATCCATCCATCCGTCCGTCCTGCGCCAACAGCGAGCGCGGAGCCCGGCCCCTCCTTCCCGGTACGGAGCCCCGGGGTCGGGCGCTGCCCCCGCCCTCCCCCGCCGGCCGGATGGGCGTGGCTCCCCAACCCCGAGCCGGGGACGCACCGGGATCCGGGACCTCCACGCCCCCCCACCCCCACCCCCAGAAGCTCTGGTTTGGACAAATGAAACCTCGGGGCGCCGGAGAAATGGCAGGAAGGGGAGCGCAGAGAGTGTGCGGAGCGGCGCCGGAGGGAGCCCTGTCCCCGCGTGAACTCCGCCCGCCGCGCCCGGCCCCGCCCCGAGCGCGCGCCCGGCCCGGCCGGCGAGGGAGGGAGGGACCCGGAGCCAGGGCCACCCCGCTTTCCCCGCGGATCCCCGATGGCCTGGGGGGGCCCCCCACCCCGAGATCCCCGCCCAGCGCGCCCGCACCTGCCCCCTGGCCCCCCGGGTCAGGGCCGGGTCCCCGCCCCCAACCCGGATGACGACATCCGCCCCCGCGGCCCCGCCCGCGCGCCCGCCCGCCCTCCGGAGCGCGCCCGGGGAAGGGGGCGTGTCCGGCCGGCCGGCGGGGGGCGCGGTCGCCAAAGCGGGTGCGGGCGGCTCCGGGAGCTGCCGGGGACCCGCCTCCTCGCGGGGGGCGCGGGGGTGCCGACCGCAGGACCAGGACCGAGTTTGGGGGGAAGGGACGAGGCCCCGAGTGTCCCCGGCCCCTGGCGCCCTCTGCGCCTTTGCGCGCGCGCCCCGGCCGGCCGCACAGGGGGGCGTGGCCCGGCGCCTGGCACCGGGGGAGGCGCGGGGCGGGGAGGGGGGCGTAGGGAGGGCAGGGGGACCCCCACTGACCTGTGTGCGTCCTCAGGTGCGCCTTGAGGTGCGAGGACTTGCCGTAGACCTTCTCGCAGCCCGCGTAGTGGCACTTGTGCCTCCGCGGCGGCGACTCCGGGTCGGCGCGGCTGCGGGCCCGCCGGCCCCTTTGTCTGGGGCCGGGCTCCTGGGGCTCCACACCCGCCTCCTGGGGCTCCGGGGGCTCCTGTGGCTCCTGGGGATCCCCAAGATCCTCGGGATCGCTCCACGCGGGGCTCGGGGGCGCGGCGGGGCAGGCGCGCTCCGGGGAGGCCCGGGGGGCCGGGGGCGAGGCCGGGGGCAGGCGGCACGGGGTGCGCGCCTTGCGGGCCCCGGCCCCGGCGCCCCCCTCCCGGCGGCGGTCCCCCCGGCGGTCCTCCCCGGTCCCGGGGGGCGCGGGCGGCTGCTGGTTGAGGTCCGCCAGGATGCGCGCCACCACGAAGAGCGAGGCGCGGTCCTTGCCGTCGCGGCGCGGCTCCTCGGCGGCGGCGGAGACGGCGGAGACAGAGGTGGAGGCGGCGGGGACCGCGCCCTCGGGGCCCGGCTCCGGCCCCGGCGGCGCCCCCGCGCGCGGCCCGTGCACCACGGCGCGGCTGGACATGGACACGAGGCACTCGGCGGCGAAGTGGTCGACGTAGGCGGCGGCTGCCATGCTGCGGGCGGCTCCTCCTCGGCTCCTCGTCGTGATCAGAGGCGCATCCGCACCCCAAAGCCTCCCGGAGAGCGAGGGGGGCGGGGGACGGGGTGCAGGGGGTGCGGAGGGCGCTGCCCTCTCCGCCGCCGGCTGCGCGCGGGGCTCCGGGCCGCCTGCGCCGTCACCCGCCCGGCCGGGCCCCGGAGCGGGAGCGCATGGAGAGGGGCGCACGGAGAGGTTCAGGGGGGGCGGGCGTCCAGGAGGAGTTGGGGGCCCCCTCGAGCGGCCTGTCCTAGGGAAGCCGAGCGGGGACGGCGTTAGGAGGGACGGCGGCGGCGCCAAGCATTGTGGCGGGTGGACGGGCGGGACCGGCGCCGTGTGCGCGCCTCCCCGGCGGCTCGGTTGTGGGCGGCCCGGCCCCCGGGGGTGGGCGGGGCGGGGCCGGGGCCACATCTGGGCCCGACGTCAGCCCCCAGCCACATCCTGGCGGCGGCGCAGGGCGCAGGTTCCCGGCGGCGGCGGCGGCGGAGGCGGTGGCCGCGGGGAGCGGGGCGCGCGCCTGGAGAGGGGGCGGGGGACCCGGGAGCGCGCAGCCCGCGCTCACCCCGGGACAGGGGGGCGTGCCCAAAGGCTCAGGGGCGGGTCCCAACGAGCCGGGCCAATCCGGGGAGCCGCTAGGGGAGCCTCTGGCCCCGCCCCCGGGCCCCGACGCGCGGCCCCATAGGGGCGTGTCCCCCCGGCGCGGCCGGAGGAGGGGCGCGCGCGGTGGAGAGCTGGGGCCCTCCCGCCCTCCTCCTCCTCCTCTTCCTCCCCCTCCTCCTCCTCCCCCTCCCCCGGCCTCGGGGACCCCGCGGGGTGTTTTTCTGCCGGACCTTTTGTACGATCACGGCCTGGAACCCCCCGAATCCCCCCCCACGGTGTGAGGGAGGCGAGCCGCCGGGGAAGGAGGGGGGAGGAGGGAGGGGGTGCCCCTTTGTCCGTCCAGCCAGCCCCGCCCGCCCGCCCGCCAGGGGCGCCGGGGTGGGTGCGCCTCCTTCCCCCTCCGGAGCGCGCGGTTTGGCACCGCGGGGAGCCGTGCCTGCCGCCAGGGCTGGGGTGCGGGGGGCGCACCACTCCCGCCGCACCCACCACCCACCCCAGAAGGGGTCTTGGGTGACTCAGGCCGATGGGGTCCCCGCCGCGCTCCGGCCCTTGTCCCGCGCGCGCGCGTCCCGGGCTGGATCGGGGCGGCGGTTGGTTGGGGCGGGGCCGCTCCGGGGAGCGCGCGAGAGGCCCCGGGAGGGAGTTCCCTTCCCCGCCTGGCCCCGGGGCGGCCGGGGACCTGGGGCGGGTCCCCCGGAGCCAGAGGGGGTGCCCGAGCTGTAAACGGGGCCACCTGGGCGCGTGGGGGGCGCACGGGGTGTGGGGCGCGACCGCTGCGCGCGGGAGCTGAACTTTGCGCGCAGGGGCTGGCGGGCCCCTTCCTCCTGCTTTCTCTCCCTCCTCCTCCTCCTCCTCCTCCTCCTCCTCCTCCCAGGCCCAGGTCCAGGCCGGCAGCCAGCTTCTCCTCCAGGCCGCCCCTCTCCCACCCGCCGCGGGCGGCCGGCCGGCCGGGGAAAGGCTCCGCGCGGTGCCAGCTGCGGGGACCCCGCCCCCCCCGCGCGCCACCCGGCGGCTGGCGAGCCTCCGCCCGGAGGAGAGGCTGCGCCCGGCCTTCCCAGCCTGTCCACTTGCCCTTGACAACTAACTCCAAGGCGCCAGCCTGCCCTGCGCCCTCCGCCGCCCTGGCCATTCTCCTCCGGACCTGGGCCCACACCCCAACTTCGCGGCGAGCCCCTTACCCGACCCTGCAGCCCTGGGTTCTTCTTCTACTTCTATTTATTTTTTATTTAAATATATATATTTTTAAAATAAATTTTATTGATTTTTTTTACAGAGAGGAAGGGAGAGGGATAGAATGTTAGAAATATTGATGGGAGAGAATCATCGATCAGCTGCCTCCTGCACACGCCCCACCAGGGATGTGCCCGCAACCAATGTACATGCCCTTGACCGGGATCGAACCTGGGACCCTTCAGTCCGCAGGCCGACACTCTATCCACTGAGCCACATGGTTAAGGCTTTATTTATTTATGTTTTAACTAGAGGCCTGATGCACAGAATGTATGCACAGGGGAGGGGGTGTTGTCCCTCAGCCCGGCCTGCACCCTCTCCAATCTGGGACATCCCTCTCGCAACCCAGGACCCACTGGCACCTGACCATTCACCTGCCTGCCTGCCTGCTGCAGGAGGCAGCTGGTCGGGGTTTCTCTCTCCTCGATGTTTCTGGCTCTCTATCCCTCTCCCTTCGTCTCTGTAAAAAAAATCAATAAAATATAATTTTTAAAAAATAAAGAGTATAAGAAAGTAAAAAAAGGATGCTGAGCCCTGCCCCGGAGGGAGGTGGCGGGCACCCCGGCAGGCCCACCGCCCACACTGTGCCGTCACGCGCCCGCCCCCAGGCGGAGGCCCACAATGCGGCTCAGTGTGGCAGCTGGCCGGGCCCGGGCCCCTGTCCGGGGCAGCCCTGGCAGGCCGGCCGGCGGTGCCAGCCCTGGAGGCGGCTGGAGATGCCAGGCTGGGCCGGAGGGCACCCTGGCACCACTGGCTACTCGGCCCGCTAAGCCAGAGCGCCCAGCAGAGCATCTGTTTACTGATAGATGGATGGATGGATCTCAGAGCGGAGAGAGAGGGAGAGGTGGAGACATCCCTGTCCAGAGGGAATCACGGACTGGCGGCCTCCTGCACGCCCCACCCAGGGGATCCAGCCTGCCACCGGGTCGTGTGCCCTGGACCAGGAGCCGAACCGTGACCTCCTGGTTCCTAGATTGACGCTCAAACCACTGAGGTCACGGTTCGGTTCCCGGCCCAGGACACAGGCCCTGGTTGTGGGCTCCATCCCCTGTGTGGGGCATGCAGGAGGCAGCCGATCCGTGATGCCCTCTCCCGGATGTTTCTCTCTCTCTCTCTCTCTCTCTCTCTCTCTCTCTCTCTCTCTCTCCCTCTCTCTCTCTCCTCTCTCTCTCTCTCTCTCCCTCTCTGACGTCAGTAAACACATACTGAAAAGAAAACCACAGACGTGACCCCACAGGGAGCTGGCGTGGCTGGAGGCTGGGAAGTCCCGGGGAGACTGAGGCAGCCGGAGAGGAGAGGAGGGGGCGGGAGGAGGGGTAATTCCCGGTTGTCACTGGGATCTGAGCACAAAGACAGCGCGAAGCCCTTGTTTCCGTCCGGGCTGATATTAGCTGAGAGGGCTGGGAATGACGTCTTTCCCGCCTGGAGAGTAGTGACTGCTTCAGGGTGTAGGGCAGCGGCTTGCGTCCCTGCCACCCCCTGAGCAAACCAGCCCGGGCTCCCCATGGACGTTTCTCTCTCTCTCCTTCTCGGAAACCAATAAAAATTTTAAAAAAAGAAAAGAAAATGGTGCTGAACGGTGTTCTTTAAAAAGAGGAAAAAGGAGGCCGAAACCGGTGTGGCTCAGTGGATAGAGCGTCGGCCTGCGGACTGAAGGGTCCCGGGTTCGATTCCGGCCAAGGGCATGTGCCTTGGTTGCGGGCACATCCCCAGTGGGGGGTGTGCAGGAGGCAGCCGGTCGATGTGTCTCTCTCATCGATGTTCCTCGCTCTCTCTCCCTCTCCCTTCCTCTCTGTAAAAGTTCAGTAAAATATATATTTTTAAATAAAATAAAAATGGGACTAACCGGGGGGTGGGGAGGAAGTGGGATCTCCCCTCTGCCCTCCCCGGAGCCCCGGTGTCTGTGTCCCAGGCCCCACGAGGGCGGGGCCTTCGGGGCCCGGGCAGGCCCTGGGAGGAGCAGCCGGGCGTGCGGGCTCCGGCCTGGGGGGGGGGGGGGGTGACATCTGATAAGGCCGCTGCCTGCTGCCAGGACAGGTCAGGGCGGAGGGCGCCCGGGGCAGCCGGCAGCTCCTGTGGAGACAGGCTCCATCCAGCAAGAACCCAGAGCAGCTGCCTCCTCCTCCTCCTTTTTTCCGGGAGCCAGACATCCAGGGGGTCCCTCCCCAAGCTCCCCCCACCCTCCCTGTTCAGCAGGGGCCGGCCTGACTCTTGAAGGAGAGTCGCAGGGCACCCACAGACACCTGCCCTGCACCACCCTCCCCCCCACCCCCCGCCCCCTAGGCCGGCTGCTGATGGTGGGTGGGAGGACAAAGATGGCAGGGGAGGGAGCAGAAGGCGGTGCCAGATGGGCAGCTTGCAGGTGAGCAGGCTGGAGGAGTGCAAAGGGCTGTGGGTAAGCAAAGGGCTGGAGGCCCTGGTCTGCTCCCCATGGGGGACGCGCCCCACTCCAGGGGCGCCCCCAGGTCCCTCCCGTGCAGATCCCCGCCAGGTGAGAGGTCTTTTCTCTCTTCTCTTATTTATTTAACGGATTTTATTGATTTTTTTTTTTTTACAGAGAGGAAGGGAGAGGGAGAGAGAGCTAGAGACATCGATGGGAGAAAACCACCGATCAGCCGCCTCCTGCACACCCCCACTGGGGATATGCCCGCAACCAAGGTTCATGCCCTTGACCGGAATCGAACCCGGGACCCTTCAGTCCGCAGGCCGACGCTCTATCCACGGAGCCACACTGGTCAGGGCGGGATTCTTTCTTTCTTTTCTTTTTTTTTAAGACTCTGTATCGCCGAAACTGGTTTGGCTCAGTGGATAGAGCGTCGGCCTGCGGACTGAAGGGTCCCGGGTTCGATTCTGGTCAAGGGCATGGACCTTGGTTGCGGGCACATCCCCAGTGAGGGGTGTGCAGGAGGCAGCGGATGGATGTTTCTCTCTCGTCGACGTTTCTAACTCTCTATCCCTCTCCCTTCCTCTCTGTAAAAAATCAATAATATATATATATATATATATATATATATTTTTTTTTTAAAGGACTTTGTATTGATGTTCGGAGAGGAAGGGAGAGCGAAGGAGAGAGTAACGTCCGTGTGAGAATGAAATGTCAATGAGCTGCCTCCCCCCCCCCCCCCGACCCCAGAGTCAGAGCCCACAGCCTGGGCAGCTGCCCTGACTGACCTCCTCCTGGTGCACAGGATGGTGCCCAACCACTGGGCCACACCGGCTGGGCTGCCGTCCGTCTCCCGCGGCCTCGGGGACCGAGCCGGCCGCCAGCCGGGCAGCGGAAGGAGGAGCGGCTGCCAGCTCCGCCCGGGCCGCGCGGAGGGGAGGGGGGAGCGGGACGGAAACACATGGTCCGGGGGCGTTCGGAAACAGGGGGGTATTTTTAGCGGGCTGTTCCCACGCGGTGAGAACCCTGGAAGACAGCGCTGATCACGGCGCCGATTATAGGGACGCAGATGGCCCTTCAGGGGGGCGGGCGGGGTCTGGAGGTGGGCAGCCCACCGATCGACCTGTCTCTCTCACATCGATCTCTCTGTCTTTCCCTCGCTCTAGACATCAACGGGAAAATGTCCTCGGGTGAGGATTCACAAAAAAAAGAAAGAGAGAGAGAGAGAGAGAGAGAGAGAGAGAGAGAGAGAGAAGAAAGAA